TATCAATTCATGCAGTATTTACTGGTGTATATCCTAAGATGACTAAGATATCTGGCCTGAAGACATTGTTATAGACACAATTATCATAATGACACACATAGTAATAAAAAGTATATGGTAATGTATAAACATTTCTTTCTCTGTGCTTCCCGGAACAATCAAGAAAGGTATTATGGAAAGGGACCATTCAGGTGGGCTGTGAAGGTGCCATGGGCTCCTGGGTAACCAGGAGGTATCAAGTAGGAGATACTCTTAGTCACAGCAAACTGGCAGCCTGGCACTGAGTGTGGGGCTGGATGAGCTATCTGGACCTGTTCAGGAGGAAGTGGGGATTGGAGGGGTGCTGAGTGAGGAAGGAGGCTTAAGCCCGGAGAAGCAGGCCTCCTCTGTAGTGAAAGACCTTCGAATCCAGCTAGCACTTTCCTAAATATGATGAGGACGCAGTGACAGATGACAAGCTGGAGACATAGGATCATGATTTTGTCTTTAAAGTCAAGAGGGCAGCAGCATGGAAGATAAATTCCAAGGAGATAAGTCAAGACCTGGAAGCCAAAGGGCTGGAGGTTTGCTGAGCTAAGACCAGATATGGGAAGAGAAGAACAGTTCTGAATGCTATAAAGGTCCAGTTAGACCTGGGAGATAAACTAGGTGGGAACCTGAGCTGGTTGGAATACAAACTGCTGAATTATTGAACTGAATAAACAGGCTGCCAGGAAAGGGCTCAGGAAACAGTTCCCAAAGCTTTCTGGATTCATTGAGACTGAGTACCTGTTAATTTCCCTACAGAAATTTGGATTACAGAGATTATATCACAAGAGAAATTATATGAGATAAAGCATCAGCTAAACCAAAGAAATATTGGAGCCATGCAGGTGCCTACTTACTACAGAAGACCCCAAAGAAATATAGGACATACTTTCCCCTTCAAAAAGTTTCAAAGCTTATTCAAATCCAATAAACAATGACATTAAGTAGGAAGTGGAGGGAAATTCAGGTCACTATTAATTAGACATCTGTAGAGGAGCCGCCTAACTAACACGGGGCTCTTTGTCCCCCTCCAGGGTTGGTCTGCCCCCAGTATGCAGTTGCTTTGGAAGATCACTTAACTATAGTTGGTGTCAGGGGAGAAGCACATCCAGGCCGCTTGTGATTGGAAGAAACAGAACATGATGTATATAGAGGAAACAGGACTGAGACAACTGAATTGGCAGAATCAGGAGACATTTTCTAATGGGAATTGATAGGGTCTAAAGGGAAAGAAAGGAAGGAAGGCTAGCAAGTATCCAGGAGGGAGATGCCACACAAGCTTGGAACTAGGGCTCAGGGACATGATGAAGACCTGGCGCTCCAAAGCCACTATGGGAAATGAAGTAAAAATAACTACTAATAAATAAAACTAGGGAAATAAAGGGTGTCCATTTGTCTGCTCTCACCTGCCTCCTTGACCTGTATCAGGGAATCCAGCATAGACAAGTTGATGATCACTTAGGTACAAGCTGCAAGAGGCAATGTGCTATAATCAAAGAGATGATTTTTGTTGCACAAGTGCTACTGCGAGGCTGGGTCCAATGCTGGATTGCCAGGTGCCTCTCAGGGAGAGTGAAAGCTGCTATGTGATTTAGTAGATTCTGGGGTTCACAAATCTAAAGTTTGAGTTTTTGAAACCAAGGCCATTTCCAAGTTTACCAACTTCTAAATGTAGATTAAATATGAGGTAACTTCAGCAATGATTATACCCTGAGCTTAAGACAAAGGTTTTCCATGCCCCACTTTAGCGGAACAAACTTGTAAGATATATGCCATAGAATTTAATTTATAAAAAAATCTTATTTTATAATGTGGCAATCTTAGACAGAAAGACTCAAGAGCATCTGGCTTTATTTTTAACAATAATGATAGCAATAGGAGATTTCAACACTATACCTTAACTGTGAGTTGGTTTAGTTATGACTTAATAACAGAACTACTTGACTAATCCACACCTAATCCTTCAAAATCCTAAATTTTCGCTATGTTTCTACAGCATGTGATATGACCCAGGCAGTTTCTTCACATGTTGGCAATACAACTCCATGGAGGATTTGTATCTCCTGTTCTTTGAAAAGCACACTTGAAGACTATCTTGAGGTTTACTAAAAAAATTGTACTGACTCATCGTCAAATTAAAATTGTCCTGTTTAAAAAAAAAAATTGTCCTGTTTTAATTATTACAAAATGGCACAGAAATAATTTTCATTCCTTTCAATCTTTATGTAGGAAAACAGAGCTATCACTGTAATGTTCTAATAAAGGGTCAAAAATTATGATAAAAAATGAGTGAGATAAAGTACTAATTGTATTAATGGTGCTTATGATTTTATATAAGGTGAAATTTATTATTAGTTTGTTTTTTAATGTGTCATTTACCTATGAAATTAGTGGAATAGTATCACTTTTGGAAAAAGTCAAAGCTTCAGATTATACTTTTTAAATTACTTTTGACAAGCTGTTAAAATTCCTATCTCTTTTTTACATTTTTACTGCTGATACTCATTGACTGCTATTTCAAAATAGGCTGTAAAAGGGAAATTCCAGAAGTATGTGACTTTTCTCTGTATTACAAAAGAGGAAGAAAGTTCTATTCTGGAAGGGCCTAGAATAATATTAAAGATGAAAGGGTGGAACAAACTGCTCACTCCTGCTTCTCATTATTTAAAATAAAATATCATACTTTTCCTACTCCAAAAAGAACTCTTTCACTAATTTCATCATTGCCAAGCCACCTGTGAGACCAAATTAAACTGAAGTTAATATGAAACATCCATGTTATTCAAGCAAAGCATTCTAATGCCCTTATTCTTTTTCTCAATTAGAATATATTATACTCACTCAATGACAAATATAATTTGGAAGACAGAAGCATACAATGAGATGATAAAGTAATAACAAGAACTAATGTTGATTGAACACTATTTGTTATATGCTGAGTTAAACACAGGTTATTTAAAAAAAAAAGAATTGAACCCTCATTGACAGACTTTCTATGAGGCATTATTAGCAAAATTAAGTGGGCACATAGCCATTCCTGGTAAAATCAAATGAGATGATGAAGTATTAAAGGGTAACTATAATTAAGGAAGAGAGAGATTTGTCTCCAAAATCAGAATGGTCTGATCTATCTTCTCCCCACTACATGGCATTAGCAGAAGATAATAGTGGTAGCTATATCCCTTAACTACTAAAAGTAATTGTTACATAAGCTTTATGCCTTTAGGTAGACTGATGCAAAAAGATACACACCAATAAGAACTAAGAGTCAAATGGATTATGGAGGTAAAGAACAGGTATGATATGGGAGATACTATTAGCTTGATGAAAATCTAGAAAACTGCAGTGATTCCCAAGGGAGGTGCCACTGGTACTTGTGCGTATGCACAGCAAGCATGTGTATAGGGCAAATTCTTTCTTTGTTGTGACATTTTGCATCTATAACCTCCACCAACTACCTATCAGAACACAACACCCAGTGTTGTGACCACCAATTATACCCTTGTACAATTTTTGCTGACCTGGACTAAGAACCAATGGATAAAAATACTGGGAAAAATGTAACTGACATTAAGAGTGCATCAGGCACCAGGTGGGTTATTCTGCTAGGTGCATTCGCACACGTGTTAAAAGGGTGGAGGAAACACTGTTTAATCTTCAAAACCCCATAAGTTAATACATATTTTATCTCCATTTTGCAGATATGGATCCTGGGGTTCAGAAAAAGGGAAAGGTTGGGTAAATTAACCAAGGACACACAGTTGGTTTTGAAAGCAACAGTCTGGCTCTAAAATTGCACTTCTCTGGTTTGGCCTTTTAAGTCATAATCGTATGATAAGCATGTCTTTCCATTCTCTGAAGAGGTTCACTCAGAAAACAAACCTTTCTATGTAGGAACAACCAAGCATGTGGATAGTTATGAACCAGAGAAGAATTAGTTTTCTGGGTTGGGTTTGGGTCACCATGTGACTGTTAAGACTTGGGCTAGGTCATTCCTATGCACAGGTATATATAGACACTGGAATTGCTTTGAGCATTCTCTGTGTGTTGTGTGTTTCATTTAATGGGATAAGAGATTTTTGTTCCATTGTGTGAAATCTATAGCTTTATTTAACACTTCCAGGGCTTTTGTTATACATGGATCATGTTCCAATTGCTTGAGAATTTCTCATTTCAGCATGTATGGGGGTGTTGAATGGGGCAGATGTGGTAGGCAACTATTAGCTATGTTGGAAGGAGACAGGTCTACTGTGAGGTGTGGTTAGAGCCTTCTGTGTTGTGGTGGAGCTGGTGGTGTTTGAGGTTGGGGGATGGGTTATGCAAGGTGCATTTGGGAGGTGCTGCATGGAAAAGCCTGTGGACACACCTCACATTGGGGGAGAGGGTGGTGTTGAATGCTGTAGGAGTTCCATGGGAAGGGGATCTAGGCAGTGTCCTGGGCCTGTGTATGGTGCCCGAGCACGCTGTGGGCTGAGGTGTTTTCAGCGTTTAGTGCTGTGTGCTGAGAGTGGTGCATAGGAGAGATGATTCATGCGGTGTGCTGGGTAGGAACGAGGGACAGAGGGGAGGGGGCCCGTGTCGTGATGTGATGGTGTATGTGCAGTGAAAATGGGGGAGGGGGAAAGGGGAGAGAGAGGGATGGCGGATCAGATCATTCCAGGCGACCTGTGAGTATTCCTGATATGGCCCCAGGCGTCATACGGGAAAGAGGTATGGGGGGTGGGGAGGTAGGTAGGGGGTGAGCACCGACAGGAGCTGTAGGGGAGGAAGCTGGAAGTGCTATGAGACATGGTACCAGTGGAGGAGCTGCGTGGGCGACAAGTCTGCGTGTGTGTGTGTGTGTGTGTGTGTGCGCGCCAGTCCTCTTCCTCATCCCAGAACCACACCGGGCCATGTTCCCAGCCAACACCTCCCACCCTCCCCTTTCCTCCGCCCAAGGGCGCGCCCCCAGCCCGCGCGGCCGGGCCCCTCACCTGGTGAAGGCAAAGTACATGAGGCTGACGATGGTGAAACTGAGCAGGGTAATGGTATGTGGCCGGTAGAAGAAGTCGATGGTGATGTCCTCCACTTGCTGCTCGTTGATCATCCGGAAATGCATCTTGTAGTTCACATCATCTTTGCTCAGGGTCCGGCTCCCCACGCAAGATGCCATGGCCCGCCTCCCCGTCCTGCGGCGGCGGCGGCGGCCCCGGCCCTAAAGGCTGGGACCCCGG